CATTGTTTGTTTTTGTGGTTTCCTAGCAATCTCTGGAGAGGAAGGAAGGAAAGCCCTGCTGAGAGAGATCGAGTTATTGAAACTCTTTGGAAGAATGGGCCATGAGAATGTTGTTAAGTTCATTGGCTGTGTTACAGTTGGAGGTAATCAGCTATTGTTATGATTGGAATCCGTTAAGTCACAGTAAAGATAAAAACATCACTGAGGTGAACTGCTGGTAGAACAAATTCTGTTACTACCATGATGAGCTAATTCAAGAAATTTCTACATTTTCGTGTGGTTTATTCAGTCTTTTTGCTAGCTTTGTAACATTTACGTAGAAATGGTGATAAAAGGTTCGATTTAGGATGACATGTCTCTGCCTATTTATCTTCGTTCTCTTTTATATGTCTTTTCGTTCGTCTGTCTGTCCGTAGTCCTCTATGAGCCGTATGTGTCTGTTTGTCTTCGCACTTCTTTCCGCGTATTTCCTTCTTTCTATTTTCTTTGTCTCTACTTTCATTAACCGATAGAAACTACCATATGATCAAAATAAGCATGTACAATTTAGAACAATTTAGAATTTGGAACGTCTTCTCTGTTCCTTTATATTGATTTGCCAAAGCTTTCTTTTTTAACTTATTTAGCTCAGCCAATACTTATCATGGAGTACCTGTGGAGAGGTGACTTGCTGGGTTACCTAAGAAAATCCAGGGGGGTTTTCGACCACTATCATCGTGGGGTCGGAAGGGTCGACCACTTGACAACATATGACATGGTGCTGTTCGCCAAACAGATCGCAAATGGTATGACATTTCTCGCGTCTAGAGGGGTAAGTGCTCAAACTCCTCTTGATTTGCATTACGCAAATCGATCACCACACGACTAAAATGATCAGGCACATTGGAATCACTGACACGAAAACAGTCGGAAACATACCTCTTTATTCCTTTTTCTTCTTTGATGGGAAATGCTTTTTCTTTATCTATTTCGTTACCGGTCCATCCCATCTTTTTTTCAATTTCAGATTATTCATCGCGATCTTGCAGCTCGCAACATCCTTCTTGATGAGCATCGTGTATGCAAGTTGACTGATTTTGGGCTCTCTTATCAGGATTTCAAATACGGCGCAGGAAATGCCAAGAAAGTAATTTCCAGAATTTTTTAATCACTTTTTTAGCGGATTTTTATTTGAGCGTCATCAAATACATCATATACCATATTGTGAGGTTAGCTTCCTTAACGTATAAACCTGAGGTATAGACGAGAAATTTGTTTTGGGACTGTTGGTATGAAATATTGAAATGTGAAAAAACTAAAACGAAAAATGAGCGTCTGCCATTAATGACGTGAACTAGGCCTCTATTTTGAAACTCAAACCAAAACGTGAACTATCCTGACGAACCTTACTTTCTTTTATACCGTTTTACCGCCAAACCTGTGTCCCTTATCGGAATGCCATTCTGATCGTTTCGAAACTTTCACACAAACAAAAAAAATGTACACTGTACCAAAGGAGTAAACGCAGGGAATAAGAAAATCGTATTTGACAAATAGTGTGTGGGGGACTTTACCAGACTGCTAAGCAGTTTACAATCAAATAAAGGCGAATCTAACAGATGCCCCCTCCCCCTAATTCCCACTAAACAGGCCAGACCACATCACAGTAATCTCGTGATTGGGTTCTTTAACGTCCTCCGCCTAATCAAATTAACTAATTAACAGATGCAGGAGGCGGGACCTACAGTTTATTCGTCATTATTCGAGAAGACTAGAATGTCTATCCATTTCTTGATGTTATAGAAAGGTAGCACTTTCTCCTCAGTTATTTTTAAGACCCTGAGTGTTGGTCCGACCGGGGCTTGAACCCTCGACCTCCCGCACAACAGTCCGCCACTGAACCAATTAAGCTAACCGGGAGGCGGTTCTTTCAAATGCAGGTTCTCACAAATGTTCTTTTAAGTGCAAGAATACCAATTCAAACATGTAGAAGGGCAGAGTAACAAAGGAGATGTAAAGAAAAATGAGCACGTGATTTGTATCTAAAACAATGTGTAGAAACGCGTGTGTTGCTCTTGAATTTATCGCGACTCCTTGCATCTTTGGTGAAAAAAGGGTATAAATCTTTATGGAATATATTTCAGAAATTGCATTCCAGTGTCTTTAAATTACATATGCTTATACTATTCTCAATACTCACCCAGGGATGTATCCCAATCAAATGGAGCGCACCCGAGATTCTTTACGGCCATGTGGAACGGCTGTCAACCAAAAGTGATGTGTACGTACTGCACTCGTCATTATATGCATTGTAAACGTGTTTACGATGCTTGCTTGACAAATTCAAAGGTTTAGAATAATTAGTGCTTTATTGATAACGGTCCAGTTGTTCAAAGGCCGATTAGCACTAACCCAGGGTTAAATTTTAATCCAGGTTTCTAAATTTCTCTGATCAAAAGCCGTTTAGGGACAATTTTCGTAATTCTTTCTAGGACATTCAATCATCAAATTGTAGACAAATGGACTTAAACTGAATTTTCTTTCAGAGCTTTCAGATCTGAAATCAAATTTCACCCTAACTCTGGGTTATGTTAACCCAGCTTTGAACAACCAGGCCCAGAGTATCAATAGGATACGTCGAGCCGGGAAATCTGAGGGTAGAATTGCAGTATAAGATTTGGATTAGTATTAAGTTTAACAGGCAACAGTTCAGTGTCCCCGTCTGAGGAAGTGTTCCAGGGGCTAAAAGTGGTGCTCAACCGATTTGACTGAAACTTGGCACAAAAAGTGAGTGAGATAAGATATTTCAAAAGACACTTTATTTCACTTTTCTAACTATTTAGGTTTTCAGCGGGGGGTCCCATTTCTGGCCTATTGAGCAACAAAAATTCATCCTTCTAGGTGCAATAAAACTCCACTGGTAAATTGTGCCGCCAAATGAAATTGACAATGGACTCTAGATCTACTAAAGTGGAGATTTTATTTCATAAGTGTAACTTTGTTCTCAAGCAATTAGACTAAAGTTAGGTCATATTTGAGGTGAAAATCACGACCAAAAACCATAACATTTACCTCCCTTCTTGCACAGCTTTCATACCACATCCAGTATGTACTTAAGTGACCCAATTTATCAAAATCAGTTGAGAAACATTTGCCTTATCAAGGTTTGTTAGGTTTTTGGCAGAAACTCTCCATGCCCCTCAGAGGCCAAGCAAAATGGAGCTTTTAGCATAATTCATGCTATAAACAGACCAAATTCTTGACATAAAGCCTTGATTTTGTATTTGGTGAGTGGAAATGAAACATTAAAGCCAAATAAGTGTCTTTGTCTAGAGATACCTCTACTCATAGCTTGCAAATGCTCTAAGAAGACCTATAAATAGCAGCACAGGCACTTAGTGGTTTGGCAAAATAAAGGTACTTTTTTTCCTATGAAAATGTTGTACCCATCATAGAGCAAAAATTATGATGTTCTGACCTTGATACGACAGTATTTTTTAAAGATGCTTGAATTTTTTCTGACCTACATTTGTTAGGCCATATCTCCATACATATTATACTCCAAGCATGCAAAGGCTCTTTATTTTGTCAGGCCACTTTTTCATTGAAAATAAAGTGACCAGAAAAGTTAAAAGATGATCTGCGTCTAACCTTTGAATAGACTGAATAGCTCCCGCAAATACCATGCATACATAAGCTTGCGTGCCGCAGTGAGCACCGTCCAGGTGACTTGTCATCCACCAGAGATCTTAGGTACTTTAGAACTGAATAAATGGAACCATCCAAAAAGAGAGAATCCACAGTCAGAAGAGCTGGATGACAAAAAATTATTTATGTTTATATGAAATATTACACACGAGACATGAGATGATGCCAATAGGACCCTCCATTTTTGACGTGAGAGTATTAGGACTGGACCGAGTGTCTATTCATCCCCCTATTTAAACGTAAATGTTGTTTGAGTCCTTATCAAGTATTAAAAGTGTAGCGATAAGAAGTTTCAGGATAATTTTACCATGGCGCTTTGCTCCTTTGGAGGGGTGAATGATCAGTGCGGTGCCGCGTCATAGGCTCTGCACGAAACAGGAATGACATAACTGCTTGGTTAAAACACAAGTACAAGGTTGTCAGGTGCGTTTAGGGTGAGTGGAAGACCGGGCGTTACCAAAGCTACAAGTACAGGCAATTCAAAGTATCAGAGAGGGCTCATACACACGCACAAATGTAGCAAATGGCTTTTTAAGCACCACTCTCGCTAAGAGCGGTCCTCTGAACTTCCCTTCCAAAAAAAATTGTCCTTGATTTATTTCTTATGAAAAGAGCTTAGGACACATGTTTCAAAAATAGTTTGGTTGTTTTTTAATTGGCTTTTGTATGAAGATTTCAACTTTCGCGAACTCTCTGCCAAGGGAAGATTAGCAAAGATGTTGCAAAAGCANTATTTCCAGGCGTGCCATAGAGTAGTCAATGATGTCGAGCAATGTTAACTCTGTACCACGTCAGGTCTGGTATCCATTTTTTCAGATCATGGAAACCTATTTTACCTACCAGAATGGACAGCACTTGTCGCCTTTTGGATCAGTGATTTGCATTCTTATAACACTCAGAAAGAGCTTCAAGCAAAGTATAGTCAAGACTATCATCCACGCCTTTAAATTTCGATCTTGCTAAACAATCAAGTACTTCATCAGGTTGTCTGAGAGCTAGTTCATCGAGGCAAGTGGTGATCATACGCCATCGTTTATTGGTATTGTAACGCTTAGTGCGCTCCGAGGCTTCACTCTACGGAGTAGAAAGTACATGTCGAATGGAACTGACATCTCTTGATTCTAAATACATATTCAGTTTGTCTCTTGGTGACAAGAAACTAACAACCAGAGACATGTCTAGATACAATGCATAATCTGTAATGTTTTCAAAGCAAAACTATTAAAATATGAAAAATAGAGCTGAAATACAAATGAATTAGAACATAACTAAATAATAGACGACTAATTCAATTATTTTATTTGAATTTGTACCATGACTAATGGTAATACAACTCCCCTCGCCTGGCTGATACTGGCTAACTGCAGGGCGTGTCTACAAGGGCGGAGTCTACGGAATGAATACAACTTGGTGGCGCAATTGTTAACTGTTGAGAAACATTCAATATTGATTTTCGGTGCGCATGCCATCAAGAAGTACAACAATAATAAAACAGGAGTTAAACTCGATCGCAAGGAAATAGGATAATTACCTGAGCCAACCGGAATAAGATGCCCTGATTCGTGAAAATGAACTGAGAATCCTCTTTCCTTAACCCTCTGTTTGCTTTGGGAAGCTACTTCGCTTTATGCCCGGAAATATCTACTGGCACTCTGCACTTAGTATTTACCCCTCGAGTCCATCCAAGACCAAGTTATGAGCGATGAAGTGGGCATATTCTCCATGTATCAACATGGTTGGGTCTTTGGAAAACAGCTGCTGTACTCAATATCAAGTCAAATTCGGTGAACACACCAGTGAATGAAAAATGAGCCAAATGCCCCGTTATTTCCCCGTCACACGACGCAAAAGTAGTACTTGCCTACCCCCTTTTCTGTCTAAGTTTTTCACTGATTTCACAAGTACAAACGAGGCCTCTAAAAATAGGCTAAATTCGGCCTTCGAATGACGCTAATTATGCGTAAACTGAGTTTTATCAATTTTCTCGAAAAATAATTTTTTTTCAACAAACTACCTATGTCTTGGTTTGTTTTACCTAAAGGCCTACCTAATACTAGAATATGAGCCAACTCAATTTTTTGACTGTTGCCGGTGATTTGTGAATTTGTCTGATTTTTGGTGACATCTCTTAAAACCTGATTATGAGAAAAAAGAGATGAAAAGATAAATGGATGATCAAATAAATAACTATGGATTTTTTTATCTTTAAGGCTTTGTTTATATCTTGATAAACATATTCTAAAACATTTGAAGTGTCTGAATTAAAGATTATTTAACTGCCCCAGTTGACATGAGTTGTCATCCCTCTATTTATTCCACAGGTGGTCTTATGGCATAGTTCTGTTTGAAATCTTCACAATCGGTACTCAGTTCACTTATTTGTTAGTTTACTTTCAGAAAATATGCTCGCCGAAACTGCTTGCACAATTGCTAGTTAAAAGGTTATACCATGAGCAGCTACAGAAGCATTGCATAATAGAGAAGTAATGGCAATACTCAATGTCGCTGATCAATAAACTATTTTTTCACATTGTTTGAAAACCTTTCTTCTTCTATCTTTTATTTGATGTAAACAGGAATATTTTACGATAACTATCATTTTAACTTTGATATCATTCCGACCGTGCCAATTGAGATGAAACGGATTACAACAAAACAGTCATGCTCTTTTATTTGTTCACAGGAGGCATTCCATACGAAGGATGGTCTGAAACCACGATAATGAGAAAAATCTATCAAGGTTACCGTTTGCCAAAGCCTGAACATATCGACGACAGTTTGTAAGTTCGGCTTCTTCTATATAATACTGAGCATGGATTGTAAAAAAAACATATAACGTTACATAAATAAAGTGAGATGCAATAGCTATCGTGGTCGGGTTTGTTGTAGCTTGCATTAATTTTATAAGATGATGAAGAAAGCGATAATGGTCATGATGATGTAAATACTTCGTGAACCCTAAAATCTGTTCAGACTGAATAAAAAGCCTTTCTAACAAATTTGCGCTATCAATAAAAAAAAACAGAAAAACAAAACAAAACTGATTAAACGAAACTAAACAAACGCAAAACAAAGTCAAAACAAAACAAAACCAAAAAAAAACAAAAACAGAACCAAAAAAAAAAACAAAAACAGAACAAAGCAAAACAAAAAACAAAACAAAAACAAAGCAAAAAACAAAACAAAAAACAAACAAAAGAAAGACATTTTAAAACTGAGATTCACATCACCCACTTTAGCCAGTTCAAGGTTGAGGAGACAAATTCAGAATAAGTTGGGTTTTTTGATCCAAGCTCCATTTGAACTGTAATGTAACAAGGTAAATCAAGCGATTTTTTTTTTGGTAAACTTAGCATTTCAAGTATAATTGTAGCTAGTTGTGGTTACGCAACCCTTAAAGTAAGAAAATTTCGTTGTTTTCCTATAGATACGCGGTGATGTTAAGCTGCTGGAAATATCAAATCGCTTCCCGGCCACATTTTGTGAACCTCTGCAAAACAATGGATACCTATCTTAAAACAAAGGTTTGCCATACAGCATCTTATTCAGAAAATACGTCGTCGGTTCTGGGTTTTTTTCGTTGTGCATTTTGGTATTTGTCTCTCTTTGTTGTCTTGTGTTTGTATGTTTGACTAGTTTTTCTCCTTTCCGAAATCATTTGTATGTTTTCATGAGGTACAGGACAGTGTATTAAGATCACAGGTCATTTCATTAACATTAATTATATTATAATAAAGCTTGGATATAATGCCCTCTGTCGATGGCTGAAAGAGCGTGTTCCATTACCTTACTAAACACGTAGCTGAGCTAAAGCTGCCCGCCATCGGCCAAATTTGTACTTCGACCCTTTCCCAGACTTCTCTCAACTTAAAAACAATAAAGACCTATTTATTTATTGTAATTTATTTTTCGTTAATTGAAAGCGAAGTTTCGGAACAAATGACCTGGCAAGTAGCTACAGAAGAACCAAACAAGGGTTTGTAAACAAGCCAAGGCCGTAATTAACGTTATCAGTACTTGATAGGAGACAAAAATCCTCAAAAAGAAAACGAAAAAAACAGCTTGAATGTTTTCGCGCTGAGTCAGATTAAGAGCCTTTATACGGTAATAAAACTGAACCACAGGCAACACTTGTATAGTTTATATATTTTCGTTTTAAAAAGCATTACAGAACAAAAAAAAATTATGAAACTTGAAAATATAACCAAACTAGCATAACTGTTGAAATTCATACAAATCATGATGGTGCGAAGCGACTGTTGATCTCCGGTCATCGCAGTGAGGCATGCCTCAGAAATCTCAGAGAGAACAGCTAAGGGCTCACTCTAATGTCCTTTCCGATACGTTGAGTGGAAGACCACATCAGTCGCAACAGCCGTATGTTACAACGCTGTCATCCCGAGCGATCCTCAAGTTCCTAAGAATTTGGCAGTCGTTCATTCATAAAACATACGCCTCGGGCAGTTTGCTTGCTAATTGCTATTTGAAAAAACTTGCATGTTTTTATGAGACACGACTCGGGCTGATTTCACCGTGCATTTCACTTTCAGATTCTGTATCAAGAATAGAAAATGTTTTTAGATTCGAGTTGCTGAACTTTTTAAGTTTGTGAACTCTTACAGATTGGGAAGTTCGATGATTTTACATTTTTGACGGCTGAAGTCTTATTCAACCAATCGAATTACTTGAATCATTCTCGCACAGAATCCGATTGGCTCATTGTAACACGTTTAGTGGGAGTATAGAACATAGCAACAACACTTTTTTTGGTTCGAAAATTAGAATTTGTTTCGAAAATAGTAAGTAATGCGTTGGGAATTTGACGGAATCCTCATCATAAAACAAATGTTAAAGAAGTAGATAGAAAAAACACTCGACTACGTCTCGCGTTTTCTCCTAGATTTCTCGGGCCGCTTTCTTTACAAAAGACCAGAGCATAGTCAAGGCTTCCTTATTTGTTAATTGATGGCGAGTATGGGACACCTATTGAAGAGATACTTTAGGAAATTTGGACGAGGAGGTCGACCTTACCTGCTTTTGTTTCTTTATTGATTTATGCACGTAAATCGGTTCCTGTCTTTGCAATTTTCATTATCTATGAAATGATTCATTTTTGGATTGTTCCTGGCTACATGGTTGACTTCATTAACTAACTAATTAATTCCTGATTACCTTGTAATCTTTATCACAGACCTATGTGGATATCGTGGACATGGACAAGTATGATCACGATAAGTACAAGTTTATTGATGATCGTGGAGCTGTTGCAAATCAAGAAGACGCAGGACCGCATGAGCAAGGAGCAGCTTTCCCTCTCACAATAAGCATAGGAGACGAAGGAGCAGCTGCAGCAAATCCCAACCGGGAAGTGGGTGAACACGGTGCTACTGCGCATCCTTTTGTGGTTGCAATAGACGGCAGTGTAACAGCTTTCCCCTTCAGAGTTAACGTAGTAGACGAAGGAGCAGCTGCAGCAAATCCCGATCGTAAAGTGAGTGAACACGGCGCTACTGCGCATCCGTTTGTGGCTGCAATAGAAGATAGTACTAGAGCTTTCCCTCTCGGAATCAAAGTAGGAGAAGAAGGTGGGGCAGCACATTCTTTTCAGAGTGATGAAAAAGATATTGATGTCTCAGCGTACCTTCACGAGAGTGATACTTTACCATACCTCAGCGACAACGAGGAGGAAGATTTTGGTGACTCCGAGTGCCCTCTTGGGCTTGAAGAAAAAGCTATTGACGACCCTGAGTGCCCTCTTGTGATTGAGGAAGAAGATATTGATCCTTTGCCATCCTCTTCGGTGCTGGATGATAACGGTCGTGGTACTCTGGCATGCCCCTTTGTGATTGACGAGGAAAATCCTGATTGTTCAACATGCTCTCTCGTGATCGAGGAGGAAGATTCCAGCAACTCAGCATGCTCCCCCATGATTGGGGAAGAAGGCTTGGAAACCAGAGTATGTCCTCCTGTGATTGAAAAAGAAGATCCCAACTCTGAAGCACATCCCCTTGCCACTGAAGTGAACAAGCCTGATGCCTCACAGTTCCCTCCTGTAATCGAGAAAGAAGATGTCGATTCTTTGGAATACCCTCCCCTGATTGAAAAAGAAGGCCATGTTGATTCCGCTTCTCCTCCAGATGTCGAGGCAGGTGGAACAAGCAAACTTGAAACCAATGATGATAATCAAGATGCTGCAGCAGTACAGTCTGTAAAGATGACAGGAGGTGAAGAACCTAAGACTTGCCAACTTGAGAACACAGAGGATGAACAAGACGATATTGGAAAAGATATGGAGGACAAAGGTGATGCCGTAGACCTTTGTGATGAAGAGGTTGGTGTGCAAGAGAGTAATGGTTATCAACTAACGCCCGTGGATACAGACGAAACCGGAAATGAAGAGGACGAGGAGTCATCCGAAGCAACTCCTCTTGTGCAGGACTGAGGCATGATACCAGAATTGCTGAATCTCCAATGTTGTAGTCGTATATTACTCAGTAATAGTTTGTGGCCTAGACTTTGAGAACCTTAGGCTTACCTTTTTGTAGCTCTTTATTTTAAGATGTAATGTTCATCTTACAATTATGATGCTTTGGTAGTAATGATAATCATTTTTATAGTTTGTAAATGGAGGGTAAGTGAACGTTTCCTTGAAAGAAAACTTGCTTATTTACTTCACTTTAACACTTTTTAGTTTGGCGTTTATTCACTTGTTGCACCCATGGGTGCTTGGTCTGTTATCGACTGTAGAGTGATTGAGACAAAGAGATACCAAAAAAAAAAGCATCGCTATTTAGATAACTTTTATGACTGACTAAGTCAGACATGCTCATTGAAGTTGTGAGTGTTTTCTAAGTATAAGTAAAATTTCCTAATTTTCGTAAGTGCAATGTACAGAAGAAAAATGCTGTTGGTTTGTTCGTCTCAATGCAAAGTTATTGTTAAGAACTCAAAGTGACCATTATGGACGACAAATAAATAGATGTTGATATCTCTTAAGCCACCATCAATATTGACCCTACTAAAAATAATTAACTTGTTGTAAAACACTCTGTAAATGTTTCAATAAACTTATGTAAGCTAAACCCGTTTCGTTTACTCCATCCATTGCTACAAAATTGCCAGTTCGGAGTAGAAAACTTTCAGGGAGAGAAAGGCAAACACGCAGAAAAAGTCTTAAAGAACAAAAGAGACAAAAGTAGAAGAATATTAATGTGAGCAAATCTAATTGTAGATTTGGAGGAAACCATAAACTAAGATGACATTTAGTATCAAAGGGTAAGAATGAAGAAAATCCAGTTGCGCCGTGCTCGTTCTGATTTGTGTATTTCTCTTTTCCAGCTTATCCTCGCTTTGCAAGCAGACAGGGCATATTTCCAAAGCAATATTAACCCACTAATTTTTATATAATTTTTTTTTATACACAGCAACTGACTGACTGCTCTTTACCAATCGAGCTGTCTATTCCATTGCCTTGATTAGATGGGTGGTATATTAAGCTGATTAGTCTTTGATGCTGATAGTTGACATAACCACTTTTTATCATTGTCTGACCCCATTCTGATGATTCATTCTGCGGAGTTTGGCCTTAGGGAGATATTCCAAGTACCAAGGCAGCTTTTCTTTCTGATTTCATCTCTGCAGTCTCAGACCTTTCGACGTCTCGGGAGCAAGCGTTTGAATGTTTTCAATAGTAACCATGCCTTTCTGGTAAATTTAATCCAACCTTGGATCATGTGTTCGAGAAGTGCATCCTTGCTAACATGCCCATGGATTCTCATTCAAATATTTTTCAATTTTTTTTTTCACTTTTTTTTGCCCACGATCACTTACATATTATTAAGTTGATAATGCCCCATGTTCTACTTCTACTTTCATTGTAAACAATACCATGCTATGATTCTTTAAACTTTTCGAGACAGCTCAAGGCGGTTATTTTCTTATCATCCTTCGTTGTGTCTCGTGACATGCCTTTGAAAAAATAAACGATGGCCTTTAAATGAGAAACTGATGGATAACAAAGTCGTGCGTGTCTTTCATCAGGCGAAAAGAGAGGATTCGTAAAAGGAGAGGCGCTGCGCTGCGCTTCCTAAGAATTAATTCGTCACGCTCCACGTTCAATAAATACTCACAGTGTTTCAAAATGCGACTTTAGGCGACTTAAGGCAAGTTAATGCCACTTAAAATGATTTTATTTGACTGAAGTGATACAATCAAAGTTAACAGAAGTCTCTCCATAAACCTTAAAAATATTTACAGAATCGCTTACAATAAACGCCACAGTCATTTTGGTTACTTTTGTATGCTCTTAAGTCACCATAGTCTAAAATATCCAGATTTCAAACCAATTTAGCTAAAAATAATTAGACAGGATTACCCCAACAGTTATTGTCAAATTATACAGTCAAGGCTAGTGATTAAATAGCTAGGAAACCAATTTAGCTTAAAATGCTTGGACAGAATTAGCACAACAGTTATTGTTAAGTCATACAGTCAAAGCTAGTGAGTAAATAGCCAGGAAAACATCATGGGTTATATGCCCAGCATCAAACAAACCTATCAAAAATATACACATAAAGACACACATTTTAATTTAAGAAAAGAGACATGATTTACATAAAACTATCATGAAATTTTCCACATAATTGATTAAAATTACCTCATTATTTCATTACTTCACACACCCTCACAAGTTGTAAAAATTGATATCTTGGTAAACTTGTCTCCCATATCTTTGCCACTTGCACTGTCAATTTTGGCATGAAAGTTTGGCAAGTCGCATGCCTTTTCAACAGCATCCAAATTTGCGCGGTCCTTTTCAGGCATCCAACCAATTTGTTGTTCTCCTGCCTCAGCTAGACAAAACACTCTAATACCATACTAAGAACCATATGCTAAGGTCTTTCTCCAGTGTTGATCGGATCAGTGGGACCTTCCAAGCGTTCAAGTTTTATTTTTAGCCTGGAGGCAGTATTACAGGTTTAAAAGCATTCATTGTTACCACACAACTGTCCAGAAACTAACGAATCACGACGAAATTCTCCAAGCTGATAACTGGCTCCAAAGTGTCCACCATTCTAATTATCCCAGCAACCTTTGCACTGCTAACCAGTTTCCATGCTTCGAAGTTAACAGCGGGATAGCACTAAAGGGTTTCTCTCGCCAAGTACGCCCATTTCATTGAAGCGGTCGCCCAGTTAAACTTTCAGAGTAAATTTTTTTATAGCTTTTTCATAATTTTTTTTTTTTTGCACAGATAAATCAATTATTTCTCTGTATCTTTTCAGCAGGCTCGCGTGCGTTTTGTTCTGACGTGCACTTCGGTCACGGTACAAAACTTAACTCACGTGATCAAATATTTCTGGCGGCGATGGTTGCTGTAAAAGGCTTCTCTTGGCTTAGAAGTGGTTCATGTATGTTGATCATCAAACTGACGAAGATGAAATGTAGAAAAGACTATCAAAGTGTCAAGATAAATAGATATTTAAGTCTTTAGTAGGCTCGTATAGCTACAAAGTTCAAATGTTTTCAGTTGGTCGAATACCATGGTGGAAGTAGCTAGTACAGATTAATGGGTTTATGCTGGAGAAATGACCCACTTTTGTCATTCTCTTATTCTGAGTAAGTTAAGTGGATAAGATTTAACTTTAGTTAAGTTTAGTTGACTTTTTACAATTGTATTTATACTCGGCTCAAAGTATAAGTGAGTGGCAAGAATTTAGCCTTTCTCCAGAATAACTTTCTATCGTTTTATCTTGATGATCTGGTACTGTAGGTTTTACGCGACTCAACATTTATTATATCCTGATGATAATACACAATGTCAACCCTTTTATCAACTTTTTCATCATGAAATACAAGAGAGAAATTTTGTTGAACAGGTAGCTGTTTTAGTAAGAAAATGGAAGAGTATACATTGTCATATTTCCTACATGATGATGATGATAATAATAATAATAATAATAATAATAATAATATGGCAGCAAGTAGTGTGGACGTGTTTTAGAGTGTTCTCATAAAAATCCGTTCCTATCGAAAGCAGGCCGAGTTTAGAGAACCAGAGCAGCCTTAAAGAAGTGTCTAGTATACTTTGCAAATTGTTAAGCAGTTTTGCGAGACTATTTGGCGTCTCTGAGCGGGAGTTCTAGCTGAGTTGATTTTGATTTTGTTTGGATGTCCGAGCGATTTGTGTCATGGCGGATGGACGACGACAACAGGCGAACGGAAGGATACGATGGAATGTTAGGATGAACAATGACTTGTTGGAGTGCAAGAAGAGAGCTTTGGAATGGGTGAAATCAGATAGTCCCCCGCGGTTGAATAATGGACGAAAGATGGGTAATATGCAGGTCATGAAAGAAATGTAAGAAGAAAAAGGATATGGTGACTTCGCACTGACGAGTCAAAACCTGCGGGATCAAGCCGCCAGACTAGAGAAGATTTTCGGTAGTGTCGCAGAGAGTTTGAGTGCAGGGATTGGGGGAAGTGAAAGAAGGAAGGAGGGAGAGAGTGTTTGCGAAGAATTGGGTGAAGATATTAACGGGTTGCAAAATGCTAATTCGTGCGCTGTGCAGGAAGATTTGGATTTACATATGAGAGAACGAGTTAGTCCCGAGGGAGTGACAAGTACCATCAGTGAAGAGGAACGCACTTCGCTGGAATCATCAATTACCATCTTACGCCAAATTAACACCTGCCCAGGTCAGTACAAAGCTCGCAAGTTTGACACTCGTATTAAGGAGAGGGCAACAAAGCGCGACCTCGAGAACATCAATCAAGCCTTAGCAGAGCTAATGAGACAACAGAAAGTACTCCTTACAGACAACCCGTTCACGTATCTTTGGATCGCAAGCTGAGTGCTGTACTCTGTTGTTATTGCATTTTTGTTGTACAAAGGTTGGAAAAAGAAAGGCCCGAAAAGACCATCAGCTGGAGAGAGTAAGCAACAGAAACGGCGCCGTTTGTACGTAGAAAAAGTATGTGAAATAAGGAAACAGATTTCAATTGCCAAAGCGGAAGTGGATCGCTTGAAAGAAAACCGAAAGCTCACCAAGAGAGGGAGAAGGAACCGGGAGATTTTGCACAAGGAATGCCGCACGTTATCGATAGCATCACTTGTCGGGTATATTGAGAAGAAGAAATCCTCTTTACGAAAACTGAAGAAAGGCTTTGTGCGAGGCAACAAGCTACATATCTTGTCAGGATGCAGTGCGCTGGCCCAGAGCAAGTATCTCTCTAGACACGACGCAGCACTGAAGGTACTGTTTTACGAACTGTTGTATGATGAGAGATTTATAGACGAGATACCACCCTGGGACTCACCCGACAAGCTGAAGCCCGTGTATGAGTCAGAGAATGCTAAAGCTTATTGGGATGTCCCTCTATATGCTGATCAACAAGAGGTCAGATGCAATAGGGTGGATGCATGCATTGTAAATCATATGTGCAAGAGAGTTGTGACGCTGGAAATGAGCTGCCCGTGGGTCAATCATCGGACAAGAAAGGATGAAGAGAACACACTCAAGTACGGACCCCTTCGCTGGGAACTAGGGCAGCAGTTCCCATGCTACGAGGTGAAGCAATGTAACATCATTATGGGTGCCCTCGGGGGGTGGCCACGGGAGCTGGATGTCATGATGCACGAGCTGGTGGGAGGCAGAGGCACAGACCTACTGCAAAGATGCAGAGGGCAGTGCTCTCGGGCACGCTGAATATTGCCCGGACTTTCAAGGTGGCAGTTTGAGTTCCTGTTAGAAGGAGGACCGTAGACACAACGGAAAAGCTTTTTAGGATTAGTTAATGTACAGTTATTTTTTACTCCATGGCTCACAGGTTACGGTTTTCGCTCTGTGCTGCCTGATTAGAATGTAGCATTCAGTTGATTTCTCTGCGACATAATAATAAGCTTTCTTTCAACTGATAAAACTAATCAGCAATCCAAAACCGAGATTTCTAGTTCGATATATCTGATAAAATGACTGGTTCAAAGAAAATGGAAATGGTGAAATCGGTATTTGTTAAGTATTCGTTATAGTGATAATTACTATATATCGTACGTATACAT